AACTGTAGCTATATTTATACTTAGCATCAGAAAGAGACAATTAAACTTTCCAGGGTACATAATGAGGAAAGAGAGCTTGGAAAATCCGATACTCACAGGAGAGATTGAAGACCAGAAAGACAGACCAAAACAAAGCATGACATACTTAGTGAGCTTGAGTAAATAGATAGCGGAACAGGATATAAGAGAACTATCATAAAGACAAAACTTATTAAGAGCTACAAGAGGCAGGGAGATGTGGAGGGCCATGACCGAGTAGGTCCTGAAGTGACATGGCACATAAAATAAGATTGTATGGCGAACTTTTCAGCGCTCTTTAGTAATAATGAAATAAATTTATTCATTACAAATATTAAAAAAAAATTAAAAAATGTTCATACAACCGCACTTAGCAAGATCTCAAAAATAAAAACGAATCACGGAAAATTCTTATATTATGAGGTAACACGTTACATAAAGAAGAGTAACCCCCGAATAACATTTTAAGGAGTCATTCAGTAACTCATATATTGGTTAAGTTACGGTGTTAATATATTTTTCAATTCTACTGTTAGTTTCTAATTATCCCTTGCTGTGCCATCTCTGCCTGGTGTTGTTCAATGTATCCAGTTTTGCAGAACAAATTTCCTTTCGTCTGTTTTTATCTACGGTACATCTCTTATATCTTCTCTGGTAAATGTTATTAATATTTATATTTTCGAAGTATAAGGGTTTTCTTAGTACTTCTCATCTGTACTTAACATCTTTCTTGCCGATTTCCCCATTTCTGTATGTCATAGTAGTTATTTATTATTTCACAACTAGTGTAACCGTGCCGTCAAAATTGACGGCAAGAGGGAATTAAAAGTAATATGTATTATATTGTACGTAATTTTCGTTTAATCCAAGTACAATTTTGCAATTTAAAATAGTTCGTTTTTAACGTTAATAATTGAACAGTGTACAATATATAAACACCTAAGGAAAGATATCCGTATATTATCCTCATAAATGTCACATATTTACAACAGAAATCATGCTTTCTGCAACAGTTGCCAAAGCACAATATTTTTCGCGTAAACTTTGGAGAGTTTTAGTAATCCATGACAGTCTGTAGATTCAATATGTAATTTCACAGTCTGCTTATTTCTAGTCCTACCAAGAGCAACGTATCATTAGATACTTTTTAAATTTATTGTTTCTCTCGCCGCCATCTTAAAATGAATTTCATAACATGAGCAAAGCTTACTTGAAGTTATATGTGGCGTATTATATATACGAACATATTTCGATAGCGATATCAGTACGCGTCAACGGGACCAGGTTATCACGGCACCGGGTGGGTCATCGTTATTTTGCACACTGTCCCTCAATTGTTATACACAAATTAAAGTAAAAAAAAATAATTAAGATTATTTCAAATCCTCATAATTATTTCTATCACTTGTATATGCTTGCTTGAACTTTCTTCTAATGCTCTGGACTGAGGGGCTTGTAGTCGTAGTTCGTGGAGGTACAGTCCTACGGGTAAAGAGAAACTCGGATGAGTTCCACCACGGGATATGTGATCGAGCGGCGCTATATCGAGTTTAATTCGTTGTCTCTACGTCACCGTGTCCCGTATGGTGTTTGCCTCCTAACTTAACTGTTTGCTTGTATATCCTTGCTTGAACCTGCTTCTAATGCTCTGGTCTGAGCGGCTTGGGGACCGTATTAGTAGTTCGTGGAGGTACAGTCCTATAGCATTAGAAGCCGGTTTAAGCAAGGATATACAATTAATAGAAATAATTAGGAGGATTTGAAATAATCATAATTAAGTAAAAAAAGGAGTGTCTGTCATATCATTGCAATTGTTTGACAGTGGGTGCCTCATGGATGAAGCAAAAGAGATTAAATTAAAGTAAAAAAAATAATTAAGATTATTTCAAATCCTCATAATTATTTCTATCACTTTTATATCCTTGCTTGAACTGGCTTCTAATGCTCTGGACTAAGTGACTTGGTGATAGTAGTCGTGGCTCCTGGGGGCGGGGATGTCCTATGGGTAAAAGAGAAACTCGGATGAGTTCCACCACGGGATATGTGATCGAGCGGCTCTATGTAAAGTTTAATTCGTTATCTCTTCGTCACCGTGGCCCGTATGGCGATTGCCTCCTATCGTAGCTGTTCGGGTTTCAATTCACGGTAGTGGATGCGCACTGCGGATGAGTCTCAAATATAGGACGAAACGGCCCACCAGTGCTTTCTGAACTCTGTTGAGGTTACTTCTAGACCCGATGAAATAATTATGATTATTTCAAATCCTCCTAATTATTTCTCTCACTTGTATATCCTTGCTTGAACCGGCTTCTAATGCTCTGAACTGGGCGGCTTGGGGACAGTAGTCATAGCTCGTGGAGGCAGAGACCTATAGCATTAGAAGCAGGTTTAAGCAAGGATATACAAGTGATAGAACTAATTAGGAGGATTTGAAATAATCATAATTAAGTAAAAAGAAGGGGTACCTGTCATATTATTGCAACTGTATGACAGTTGATGCCGGACGATTGCCTCATAGATGAAGCCACAGAGATACGGTTCGACGTTGAGGATATCATGGATGGAATATGCATGTAACAAGGACATCAGAATTATTAAGATGCAGTTACAGCTTCTAGAAAACATGTCCAGTTAATACCCTCTTCTCGGTCTTTTGAGCAGGAGTAGGGGTTTATCCCTTGTTTCATGTTCAGGATTGGATTTCCGGTCCTATATAAAGTCTTCTCGTTACCTAAAAAAAATAAAAAATAAAAGTACTAAACTGTCCTCTTGTATAGTTGAGCGTTGGATCATCTCCTCAAAGATGAAAAAGAGGCTTGAAGCAACAGAAATATGATCCATCATAAGGATTCTGAGAAAACTATAGTCCAAGGTTTGGGAGAAAATGGTAACCAAATGGTAACTTATCCTTAACATCAGGAAGGGACAACTGAGGTCTCTATGACACATAATAAGGAAGGTGAGCTTGTAGAATATGATACTCACAGGACGGATCGATGAAGGTTTAGAAGAATTAACAGAAAGACAAAATGTATTAAGATCTACAAGGAACAGGAAGTTGTGGAGAACCATAATCGCTTACGTCCTGAGGAGACACAGCATTTAAGAGAGATTTGTATATTCATATTTTACTCATTTGCTCTCAGCTTTTGTTTTCATTTTAGTATGTTACTGTTGCTGTTTCATTTTACTTCTTATGAATGTGGTTTCTTCCGCTGCTATATGCTGTGTCTATTCTGAACGTGTGAGATCATGACCCCTCACAACTAGCTGTCCTATGTACCTCTAAGTATACTTATGACATTCTAACCTCACAAGTCTTTTCGATTTTAGAAAAAAATCGCAAGAAATAAGGACCAGGGAAAAAAATTAAACTACTAAACGTAAACTGTCCTCTAGTATAGGAGTAAGCGTAGGACGATCTCCTCAAAGATGAAAAAGAGGCTTGAAGCAACAGAAATGTGGTCCATCATAAGGATTCTGTGAATACCATGGTCCAACGTTTGGGAGAAAATGGTAACCAAATGGTGACTTATCCCTAACATCAGGAAGTCAGAGCTGAGATTTCTAGGACACGTAAGGAGGAAGGAGGGCTTGTACAATATGATACTCACAGGACGGGTCGATGGCGGGACAAGGTTTAGGAGAATGAACAGAAAGACAAAATGCATCAAGATCTACAAGGAACAGGAAATTGTGGAGAACCATAATCATTTGTCTAAGCTTGTTAGGTAAGATTTTTCTGCAATCCACTGTCCTCGTTATCTGCCCGAGAATTTCTACAATGTCTTTCTGATTGTCAATTTAGCTATTCATCAATCTTATTTGAGGAAAATGAAAACAAAAAGTTGCTTATACTTAAAAAAAATAAAGAGAAAGTTGGTATTTTAGGAGACATGTCAAATTCACTAACCTCCACTGTCTCTTGAACAGCAGGAGAGGTTTATACTTCCGGTTTGGAATTAGGTTTTCGGTTCCAGCTAATGTCTTTTCATTAGCTTTCACTACTTGCACCTGTTGTTTAGTTTGATGATGTTCCGATTTTATAAGGATATTTTTTTTTTTTTTTAAAGAATAATTTTCTTTATCTTGATTACAAATTCAGATCGTACTCAAGTTTCCATTTTGTGATCGCTACCGATATTAAATTTGAATATGACTGTTACAGATTTAATAGTATTAGTGCTATTCGTGCTTATGAAGATGAATTCGTTTTTAAGTTTCCAAAATTACAAGTCCCTTTGAATATAAATTATTCATAAGCGTAATTGTCGATCTCACCGGGAAGTGAAATAATATCCCACACCAATTACCCCTAAATTAGTTTCCACCTCTTCCCTTGTCCCTACGTTTAACCTGAAGGCAATCATCAGATTAGTATCATTTGTTCTCTCACTGTACTTAATCATAACGATACCGACATAAAGCACTACAACTTTGTCTTCTATACTCTTGGAGATTGGTGCATGGAATAGGATTACTCACAGACTTTGTCATTTGCATAATCTAATTACATTCCATGTTATTCCGTCCTACACAATGCTAGAATTTATTACCTTTTCCGCTTTGTTAGTATTGACTAGAAATGCTAAACCACAAAATTTCTCGTATATATATATATATATATATATATATATATATATATATGTAAATGTGAGTGTGTATGTATATCAAGGCAGATTTGAAGATTTTAATGTGCAACAAGTGAAAATATTATTTGTTCAAAATCTTTAAGTTTCAGAAACACATAAATATTCATCACGTGAACCTAAAAAACCTACGCAAATATAAATGTAGATCGGTGTATATATATATATATATATATATATATATATATATATATATATATATATATATATATATATATATATATATATATATATATATATATATATAGACAAGGCGTTTAAGCATGAAATTGACTGAATTAGGCCGTCGCTGCCTGTTGTGGGTCTCAATGTCCACATTTTTATTTACAAAAGCTCTATCCCAATCTATCTATCTATCTATCTATCTATCTATCTATCTATCTATCTATCTATCTATATATATATATATATATATATATATATATATATATATACTGTCATCCACAGACAGCCGGTTTCGCTGTATCACAGCTCTTCAGTCTGTCTACACGTCCTATTGCTTAAAGCTGTGATAAAAAAAGACCTCTCTGACATCATTCAGAGATCCTACCCTTAGGCTATCGTATATACGAATATATATATATATATATATATATATATATATATATATATATTGTGTATATTTTGGCAGAATGTTTTCATTAAGACATGTCTCATTAAATGATTTAATCAAGTTTTGTCTACTTATTTTTAAGACGACCCTATCTTAATTACGGATAATTTTTTATATCTATCTATCTATCTATCTATCTATCTATCTATCTATCTATCTATGTATTTATATATATATATATATATATATATATATATATATATATATATATATATATATATATATATTTATATATATATATATATATATATATATTTGTATTTATACTATATTTACTTTGTAGTAATCTTTTAAGAATAGTATTTGTTGGTTATTGAATTCATTCCATATATACCAATCATATACTTAGGTATATATATATATATTTATATATATATATATATATATATATATATATATATATATATATATATATATATATATATATATATATATATATATATATATATATATATATATATAATAAAATAAAAAAATAAATTATTTATATATATATATATATATATATATATATATATATATATATATATATATATATATATATATACTAATAATAATAAAAAATGTGATAAGCATAGTATATTTTGTTTTGTATTTATATATATATATATATATATATATATATATATATATATATATATATATATAATAATAATAATAATAATAACAGTAATAATAAATATATTATTGTTGTTATTACTATTATTATTAATAATAATATATTTTGTTCATCAGCGAAATCTTCACCAAACGGTTATAGCTCATTTCGACATTTGAACATGAACCACATTGCGTCTCAAATGATTAAACATATATAAACGAACATGAGAATTTTCTAAAAGTCATTTGAAAGAATTTAGAATCAAATATTCTAATCAGAGTAAATAAATTCAATCAAAATGAAAAATTAAACTTATTAAATTAAAAATGATCTAAATACAGCATCTAACAGCGTGGTAAAACATGGAGTGATGTCTACTTCAAGCATAGAATCGACAGTCACAATGCACTGCTGAATTGTATATAATCTCTCTTTATTTTTACAAGCCCTTTGTGACAGACAGTGAACACGAATTCTTCATAAAATTAAATGCTTTATCATTTTTTCTAGAATTGGATAGTGACGCGTTTTATTGCGAGGGGGGACTTCTTCAGACAAATATATCGTATATACTCATGTAGGAGCCTGTTCCACAAGGGAGTGGTTCGTGGGAAGGAGTTAGTAGAATGGAATTTACATCTTATCAATGATATATGAAGAGAATCAGGCTGGTTCGCTACAATGTCGTGGGTTTTAGCCGTGAAGTTTAGAAATGGTGGCACTAAGGTATATAGATGGTCTGAGAACTTTCTATTGATAGAGAAAGAGGTCGCAGGGTGGAAAATAATGAAGTCATAGATAGTTTTGAACTCTATGGAGAGAGAAGACTGAGCAGCTGTTGTAATAGTACTCGAATTTCGACCTGATTTGGCTCTTGTAGTAGAGGATAGCTGGGTGAGTCAGGTAATTACTGGTGTGGTACCGAGAACGGAACATTTTACCAGCATCTTTAGCGAGGGATCGTAATTACGAGTTTCACTTGAAAACTGTGTTGTCTTTAAATCCCACTAGGCACTTAAAGTATTGGGCCTCCCTCAGGGAACAACCGTCCATGGTGAGTGGTGATAGAGCTGGGTCTGATCGGGGATGCATCAAAACGATAAAGATACAGTATTTATAATATTTAAATATAAATATTTAAATTTAAATTTTAACTTGCAGTGTATGTTAATCATCATATTAACCCGTACAAGTCAGCTTTTGTAACATTTTATGAAGAAAAAGATATGCAATATGATCCTGCATGCAAATAAACCATAGTTAATACTGAAATTGATGCATTTTCAATTTGGGATATTTTTGGCAATCTATGCGTTTATGATTCATCCAGGTTTAATTTTATATTTAGATCGCTTTTTTGTGGATTAACGTAAATTGCAGCATACAACTCGACCTGACGTACTAGTCGACCTGACGTACAACTCGACCTGACGTACAAGTCGACCTGGCGCACAAGCCAACCTCGAGCGTTTTAGCTCAAAATCGTATATCGTGTAGGTCGACGTCCAAACATGCGGTAGGCTTACCGATGACCCAACCTTTAGGCTTACCTGTAAATGAAGTTAGGCTACAGTATACAATAACCTGTACCAAAATACATAAGGTCACACCACTTACCTGTATATTGAGATACTAACCTTAATTTCTTTCTCTATGTGTTGTATAGCAAACAACCTACAACACACATCGGTAGGTACCCTATATTTTGTTGGTAGAACTTAGCGAGCATTTAAAATTCGTCAGGTCTACTGATAAACACATTAAAGTCAACATAAACTCCTATAAAATGTTTTACCATAGATTACCCATCATAGCAGGTAAATTTTGATAGTGCTACTACATATTGTATGCTATTATAGCATACAGTAACTGTTCGGAGTGATATTCCATTTGTTTACAACTCGGTGACAAACGTTTGCATTTTATACCAACCATATAAGTTGTCCCCAAGTTTCGGAAATATTTTTTTTAATTTTGAAAGCTATAGACTGGTACGCCACAATTTACGGAAAATTCCTTCGGGTCTTTAAAACACATGTCATAAAATTCATTGGTAAATTCCTTAAGTCTTTAAAATACATGTCATAAAATTCATTGGTAAATACCTTAAGGTCTTTAAAATACTTGTCATAAAATTCATGTGAACATTGAATAAATCAGTACAGTCCTTATGCTCGTATAGAAACATTTATATGTATTTATGTAGACTTATATATGTATTCATGCATATATATATCTATATAGGTATTCATATATATATATATATATATATATATATATATATATATATATATATATATATATATATATATATATATATATATGATATATCTATGTATGTACATATATATATATATATATATATATATATATATATATAGTAGTGGCCATAATATAAGGAACAGAAACAACAAAGACATAAATATGTGTATTACTTAAAAATAATGCATGATTAGCAATGAAATTTTTACCAAATAAAGATTACGGTGTAATGCATAAATATTATACAAAGTTACAAAAATTTACACAAGAGATGTAAAATCACATTTTTTTAATGAAAAAAAAAAAACTCAGGTTTCGTAATATTTGAAATCGATTGCTTGTAAAATTTTCGCAAACATTTGCTTTATACTATTTCTGTTGGATGTAATCAAGCTTCTACCATATATATATATATATATATATATATATATATATATATATATATATATATATAGTAGATAGATAGATGTGTGGGTTTGTGTCGGCTAAAGCATGAAATTGGCTGTTATCAACCAGTATTGATTTCTATGTCATTAGTTTTTCTATCTCCAAACTCTCTCCTATACTGAAATTTCTTGCCCTCTAACAATGATTTCTTACATATACTTCCAAGATAAAGAGAAATATTTCTTCATTTTAAGTCCACTTTGTTATCTGAGTTTCATAGGAATTTTGTCTCCAGTGCCTCTTGAGTGAACTTAGGGGTTAGTGTTTCAGGATTCATGTCTATACCTGCCTTTGAATTGGGAAATATAAACATTTTATCAATGACTTTAGATAGTTATGAACGTAATCCTTTGACGATTTGACCACCCATCTGGCTTTGTGGTGCTCCCAAAACTTCTGGAAAGACGAGGGTATGGAGGTGGCGGGACCTTAGGATTATCTATATAAGTAGAGAGAAAAAGATAGAGAGGCGGGTAGTCGAGGGGAGATTGTGTCCAGCCGTGAGAGAAGTAGATAGATGACCCGAGGAGTTGGAGCTGACTAGCCTGCCAGTGATAGAAGTACCGGTAGAGAGAAATCAGGAGCCGCCGAGGCCAATGAAGTTAGGAAAATAGCAGCCGCCCCTCAAAGCTGAAAGAATGATTCCAGGTTTATGTGAGAAATCGTATTGATGCTACTTCCCAACCAGAGAGCCTTGAAAAACTATTTTCTTCATTTTTTTTTTGCTGATAGCGATCACGATCGAGAAGACAAACCTGGGCATATAGTGAGTTAGGTGTATATGCAAATACACTCAACAATGCAGTGAGCAACAAACGATCAGAGTATAGTGACTACTCCGATTTACCACGCCCACAAAATACTCAGTTATAATTGGATAGAAAATAAATACTGTTTATTACAGGACAATTTACCAATCGCAGTAACCAAACAAAATTTTCCGCCATGACTTTGCCTAACATGGTTTTGTAAAAAAATCAGTGATTGGTCAATTTTTATCAAATCGTGTATTTTAGATATTCCTTTCGATATTTTTCCCGCTTCTCTCTGGAGCCTACACAAAAAGTAATTAAACAGTTTGTACTCCAGAAATAAGTTAGTAGAACAATAAATCAGCAGAACTCAGCAACGCACGCGTATCTACATTCTTCTACGCACGCACACACAGACACGGAACTACCATTACACTACACTGTTAACTGTCTGTCACAGAGTCAAGTCACAAACCAAATTCTATTATCCTTGTTGTATAAACTTTTCATTCTTGAATTCAAATCTTATTCACTGAACTCTGAACATTTCAACAAGAAAGTTCTTAAGTACATTATTCCTATCTGGCATCAGATATCAGTACAAGGGAAGCTACTTTTCTTTCCCTAAATATTGATACATAAGCACAATTGTTGTACTTGTTGATTTTCAATATATATTTTATTGTTGAATGCAATTTGATCTTTTGTTCTTCTTTCCTTGTGTTCTTTGCAAATTTAAATGTATGTGCTCTCACTAAAAACGCAGCCTCACTAACAACCTCATTAACAATTTTAAAAACAAATCTGAGCAACACACCACAAGAGAACGTCGCCACAGAACTTGTTACAATTTCGCCACGAATGGCGTCACAGCCCAATCAATATAGCAAACTTTAAACAATATAATCATGACTAACCGATTATTACCGAGTATACCTATCTCCTAGGATGGCGGACCAATATCCACTTCATACGTTTGCTCCGCCAGATTTGTATTCATTCAAAACTTAACCCTGTGGTTTATATTGCAACAATACTGAGCAGACAATAATTACAGATTAATATAAACGGGCATTCACATGATATTTCGTGCTAGTGAAACCATCGATCAACATTTGGTTATACCCCATTGTACTTACAAGCATTAATACAAGAATCTTGAAGTAGAATTCTAACAAATGTGACAAATTGAAAACTGTACTTATAGATTCATTGAAGCGATAGCTTGTATCTCATGGTTTAAATAATTAGAAAAAAATATTCTCCCAGCTACATTTCAAACCTTACAAAGGATTTTTAACTATGTACAATGTGTGTGATCGCAGGTTGTTTTATTTTTATTTGTATTTTTTTTTAGAAAAATGTTCAGTGGGAATGCCAGAAAAACCTCAAAGACAGTTCTAATAATCAAAATAAATCAAAGAAATGAAAATAATATTAATAATAATAATAATCAAAGAATTTGTCATTGCTGCACAGGATTAATTCTTGTTAACTAGAAATTATCAAGCACCCTTACTAAAAAAAATTGTGTTAGCCCCAAATGCAGATTCCATGATAAATAACCAGAAACAATTGATCACTATTTCCATTATTCGGACTATTGTCCTCATCTTTGTCGCCATATTTATTACAACATTTCTCCCGTTGTACGCTCCTGCCTTTTTCAGGTGGTTGGAATGTCGAAATGAACCCTTTATTTCGCTCACTGGGGTAGATTGTTCTAGTTTAACGAACTATATTAATGCATATCAGTTATCTCCTGTTAATTCTCCTCTTCCAGTTCTCCACTGCCTTACCCGGGTATTGAACTCACACTCTTTGGGTCTTGCCACCCGTACAACGGCCAAAACGTTGTAATACATATGGCGACAAAGATGAGAACAATAGTTTGAATAATGTAAATAGTGTACATAATACCTCATCTAAGAAATATAGACAGATACTGAAAGGCCGAAACGTTGTAATAAATATGGCGACAAAGATGAGGACAATAGTCTGAATAATGTAAATAGTGTACATAATACCTCATCTCAGAAATATAGACAGATACTGAAAGGAGGACAAACGTTGTAATAAATAATGGCGACAAAGATGAGGGAAACAATAGTCTGAATAATGTAAATAGTGTACATAATACCTCATCTCAGAAATATAGACAGATACTGAAAGGCCGAAACGTTGTAATAAATATGGCGACAAAGATGAGGACAATAGTCTGAATAATGTAAATGGCGACAAAGATGGACATAATAATGTAAATCATCTCAGAAATATAGACAGATACTGAAAGGCCGAAACGTTGTAATAAATATGGCGACAAAGATGAGGACAATAGTCTGAATAATGTAAATAGTGTACATAATACCTCATCTCAGAAATATAGACAGATACTGAAAGGCCGAAACGTTGTAATAAATATGGCGACAAAGATGAGGACAATAGTCTGAATAATGTAAATAGTGTACGAAATAATACGACTCATCTCAAAAATATAGACAGATACATCTCAGAAAAAGGCCGAAACGTTGTAATAAATATGGCGACAAAGATGAGGACAATAGTCTGAATAATGTAAATAGTGTACATAATCATCTCTCATCTCAGAAATATGAGACAGATAAACTGAAAGGCCGAAACGTTGTAATAAATATGGCGACAAAGATGAGGACAATAGTTTGAATAATGTAAATAGTGTACATAATACCTCATCTCAGAAATATAGACAGATACTGAAAGGCCGAAACGTTGTAATAAATATGTCGACAAAGATGAGGACAATAGTCTGAATAATGTAAATAGTGTACATAATACCTCATCTCAGAAATATAGACAGATACTGAAAGGCCGAAACGTTGTAATAAATATGGCGACAAAGATGAGGACAATAGTTTGAATAATGTAAATAGTGTACATAATACCTCATCTCAGAAATATAGACAGATACTGAAAGGCCGAAACGCTGTAATAAATATGGCGACAAAGATGAGGACAATAGTCTGAATAATGTAAATAGTGTACATAATACCTCATCTCAGAAATACAGACAGATACTGAAAGGCCGAAACGTTGTAATAAATATGGCGACAAAGATGAGGACAATAGTCTGAATAATGTAAATAGTGTACATAATACGTCATCTCAGAAATACAGACAGATACTGAAAGGTAATAAATATGGCGACAAAGATGAGGACAAACTGAATAATGTAAATAAATATACCTCATCTCGACAAAGATGAAAGGACAATAGTCTGAATAATGCGACAAAATAGACAATAGTCTGAATAAATAAATAGTGTACATCACCTCATCTCAGAAATATAGACAGATACTGAAAGGCCGAAACGTTGTAATAAATATGGCGACAAAGATGAGGACAATAGTCTGAATAATGTAAATCAGAAATATGTACATAATAACCTCATCTCAGAAATATAGACAGATACTGAAAGGCCGAAACGTTGTAATAAATATGGCGACAAAGATGAGGACAATAGTCTGAATAATGTAAATAGTGTACATAATAACAACCTCATCTCAGAAATATAGACAGATACTGAAAGGCAAAGAAGATGAGGAAACGAATTGTAAATAGTGTACATAATACCTCATAAATATGGCGACAAAGATGAGGACAATAGTCTGAATAATGTAAATAGTGTACATAATACCTCATCTCAGAAATATAGACAGATACTGAAAGGCCGAAACGTTGTAATAAATATGGCGACAAAGATGAGGACAATAGTCTGAATAATGTAAATAGTGTACATAATACCTCATCTCAGAAATATAGACAAACAGTTGATCATCTTGTATAAGGTTGCACAGTATTGGCATTGACACTGAATAAAACATCCGGCATGACAGAGTGAGGAAATATTATGCAATGGAAAATCTGCAACATCTACGGAAAGGAAACGGAAAGAAATTGGTATGAACACCACCCAGACCGTGTTACGGAGATAGGACCTGTAAAAGTTTTATGAGACTGCAGAATACACACAGACAGAACCGTCCAGACATCGACCTTGAAATCGAAATCTCAAAAATGTGGCACATGAGGACATCAGCAATTCCTGTTGTAGTTGGAGCCCTCGGATTGATTGGAAAATATTCTAATAGACACATTGAAGGGATTCCTGGTAGCCCATGTTTTAATGAAATACAAAATTTGTTCTCACGAGTACAGCCCACACCTTACGAGGCTCTTTATCTATGTAAAATATGTGTGTGTGTCTTTAATTACTCAGTGGAAAATGCCATGAGGGCATTTCTGACCTTAGGTCTCTGGTCGGGACCCAGAAAGAAATGAGTACACGCCAAAAACCAAAGAAAATAATAATAATAATAATAATAATAATAATAATAATAATAACTGCTAG